CCTCTTAGTAGATCGTTGGCTGATGATATGCTTAGCGTTCATAATATTCCTGTCAAACAAGGATATGGTAATTATGGCTAATACATTTTTGAATGGTAGAATTTAACAAACAGTTAATTTATTATTAATTTATTAAATTTTTTTTTTTTTAAAAAAAAATAAAAATAAAAATTGTGTTTTAGGACTCACCGAAACTTCACCCGTTATCAGTCTTGTTGATGAAAAAAAAATTATCAAAGGTATTTATTACTTAAACATGATTGCTTATGTGTAAGATAATTAATGTAATTAAATAAGAATAAACTGGATTTTTTTATTATTATTGAAAATAGGTTCCGTTGGTTTATTGTTACCGAATGTTGAAGCTAAGATAGTTGCAGAGAATGGACAAGGTGGACTATTTCTCTTTGTGATGTGAAATCGTATGGATCTTTTTGGTAATTAAATTTTTCATGATTTAGAATTGGGATATAATGAATCCGGGCAACTCTGTCTTCGAGGTCCTAACGTAATGAAGGTGAGATTTCAAAGTTTACAAAGAATAATTAACCAAATAGCGATTAGACACTGGAGAATGAATTTAATGATTAAATTACAGGGATATTTAAACAACAAAGAAGCAACCGACGCATCATTTGATAAAGATGGATTCCTGTATACAGGAGATGTCGCTGTTATGGATGAACAAGGTTAATTGTAATTTTCGGAAATAGTAAAAATGCGACTTCTTTTACTGTGAATCTAATATTTATTTTTATATACAGAAAATTTATATATTACCGATCGCATCAAAGAGTTGATTAAATATAAGGTATACTATAGTTATTCATGGGACGTGATTATCGATCAGACTGGTTTATATTTCGTACTCTTTTTAATCTCTTTCATATACACCTTTTGAACCAGGGTTTCCAAGTTGCCCCCGCTGAATTAGAAGAAATCCTAATCTCACATCCAGCAGTATCAGATGCCGCCGTAGTAGGTTTCAATTGTGAAGCCGATGCCACCGAATACCCCTTGGCCTATGTCACACTTAAAGTCGGCCATGAACAGTCTCCGGAGCTGCTTCGTGAAATACAAAATTACGTTACCGATCAAGTGGCACCGCATAAGAGGTTGAGGGATGTGATTTGTATTGATCAAATACCTAAGAGTGCTTCAGGAAAATTGTTAAGAAGGGTGTTAAGGGAGAAAGCCAAAGCGGAATATGTGCTTTCTCACAGGAAGTAGTGTGCAATTTACTTTTTATAATATAATATGGTGCTTATTGAATTCTTTGCGAAATTCATAAAGCTTATAATTCAAAGGTTATATTAAATTAAAAATGTTTATTTAATATTAATTATATACACATTTTTTAAATATCCAAACAAACCTCGTTCTTTAATTATTTTATGGTTGCAATAAGGAGGAGACATTTACTTGCTTGTTATGTATAATTGAAAATTAATAAATAAATGCGTGCATCGATCAATAAACATCCATGTTGTCAAGATATCATTTTAACATTATATTTCAATGACGTTATCTTTTCTTTTTTTATTTTAGCAAAATAAAAAAATTTTATCAACCAAATTTAAACCAAAATAGAATATTAAATTTAAACTTATCGTAGATATACCAAAAGATTATCTCATGTATTTGATTGTGGTACGTATTAGCCAAACCTCTAAATAAATGGATAGATACTTGATATTGCTAATATTGGATAAATTCAATTTTCCGAAAATGAAAATAAAGGTACTCAAAATACTATGGTAAGAAGAGCAAGTCGGTTGATCGACTGGAGCGCAACTCACGGATAATCTAACGGCTAAACTTCTCATCTGTCTTTTTTTAACGCAGTTGTTGATTTATATGCGTTTCGCGTGTTTACATGCTGTGACACATTGTATGCATGTACTAATTTGTTATTTCTATATTTAGCAGTGTTTTTTGAACTTTGGTCATTTTCCCAAGTACGTACGTAATTTCGTTTACGTATTTGTTGTACGTAATTTTCAATCACGTGATTTATCGCTGACTGATTAGTGTACAAAAGCGTCTATCATAAAGGGAAGGAATTTGTGGCAAATGAAAATTCTGCGTAATTCCGTGTATACGTAATTATTAATTTTCGGAAAGACATTTATGGATCGGCATGGAAATCTCAGTAATGTATTTTAAATCAAATAAGTCTAGTTTTCATCATTAGAACGTCGTGTTACAAATATTACATACAGCTACGCACCTTTTATTCATCATAAATAGCCAACCTGACTGTTTTTTTTTTTCCTGTATTTATAATTTCATCAATTTTTTGAATCTGAATGCTACCCCAAGACCATTACATTAATTATACTTGTTGTTTTTAAATCTTTTGTAATTAGAATCTTTTGGATAAATTTAATTCAACTCTTATAGAACATAATAGTTTTGAGGCATCATATCTTGATTGTTTAACATGATTAATGATGACTCGTTTTGTCATGACCCGGATGGTTGGGTAATTGT